AGATGAGGCTAAATACAGGCAGTATATCTGTTGATGCCTTGAAGCTTGTTAGTAAAAAAAAAAAAAAATCTCTTTCTAGAACACTAAAAAAACTGGGTAACAAAACCAAAGACCGGATGAAAAGAATTGGTGAGGGGCTTCGGATATATTCCAGCGACAGTTAAGGGACTTTTTGGGGGATGACTGCCGGCAGAAGCGTCCGCATCGAGCAGGATCACGATCCGTTGCGTCGACCTGCGTAGTTCCAGCCCTCGGTGCCGAAGCAGGACGGACATATCGACGTGGCAGAGCATTGCTTCTAAGTTTTTGGGCCTTTTCATTCGAACGGTTGTGCCAGTTCCCTCCCTCAGAAGAGTTCCCTCAGAGTTTGGACTGGACTCTGTTCGAATCGATGCGAGGAACAGATGATGGAAAAACTGGAGCTTGGATTACCATGTCTCGGGAACAAGCCAAGACATTTGAGTGTCTCACCATCTCCCACGGCTGGTCTCCGCGCCTGGAAGAGCCCCCGAACATGCTTCGCGAACACCGGCCGACGTTCTCTCTGGAGCTAATCAGGCTTCTCGGGTCGGGACTGGGTAGAACTCACATCAGACGATCAAGATGCACTAGCGTGCCTGCTGGCTTTTTCTTCCACGGATGTACGTGCCAGGGCAGCACCGTGGTAGTGGTAATGCCGTACGAGATGCCATCATGCCTGCGACAATCATCGGCTTGTCCTTAGCCCGTCAACACCATAAATAGGTTTCAGCAGTAATGACAAGAAAAGACAGGCCTCCCTAACCGTGAGTTTGGAAATTCTGCTCAGGGTCAATCAAACAACCGTCCCTCACGACGACGGGCAGCCAGCTCGACTGTCGTGGACGTGAGAGCTTCAACAAGCAGGTTTTGGGCGCGCGCGATGGCCCCCCTCCCCCTCCAACGTCGTACTCGTCCGAGAAGCGTCCATGTGGCTTGCTTGTAGTCCAAGGTCGAGATCCGCTCCCAGGCGTTCAGTGTGGCTGTTGTCAAACCTGCCAGAGCTGCTGCTGGCGTGCGTGCGTACCTTATCGACGGACCGACCTTCTGCGTTCAAGTGTGTCGTCTTTCTAACGAGGGGCACACACACACACACACGCGCGCATTGGCGACGACGATCCTCATCAACATCGCACACTAGAAGCTTCGAGCCCCCTTCGGACGACACGATTCTAGAATACCGCCGTTTGCCGACTAGCGCGGCGCAACGAAACCGTTTTGCCGCCTTCTCCTACTTCCTTTCCAGCGGCTCGCAAGCTGCATTTGCATTGGGACTAGGCCATCCGCGGGATATCCCTCCTTGTGTGCGCGCAACCCTGGCCGTTGAGTCAGTTGGTCATGTGTGTGTGTGTGTGTGTGTGCCGCCGTCCTCCGAACATGCGTCGATCAAACTGTGGGAAATCGGCCGGCCAGGTCCATTCCATCGCTGGCGCCGATTTGAACACAACCCACCGCAGGTCGCGGGCCCGATAAGGCTCAGCCCGCAGAACCTCAAGAGATTACAGATGCGAGCCGGCGTCTGTGGTTGGGACGAAGAAGCGGACTTGAACCTGTTCGCAGTGAGCTGACTCGACACCGCGCGCACAACATCATTCTCCGGCCAAGCTTTTGTCGGAAAAGCCGAGTCACGCACATGTCTTCCAAGCATGCACATAACGATGACGATGTCCAATATAACCTGCAGCGGGACACATGCATACACACGCACGCACGCACACGGCTTCGAGCCAGATGGGTGTGTCTTGATGTCGCTTCTTCAGTCTCAGATCGAGACATGGCATGAAGTCGGCGGAGGAGCGCAATGGAAAGCATCCGGGGGAAGACAGGCACAGGTTCGGCACCTCGGTGACCGAATCCGAACTCTGTCGCATTCGAGAGGCGAGGAACGCGCAGAAGAGAAAGACACATATTAACCCCTTCACCGATACTGTGATTGGGGAGCCTGAAGTTGCATCTACCGCTGCAACGTGTTCTCCACGACGACTGGAAGACCGCGGATGAATTCCCAAAGTCCCCCAAGTTTGAGATCTATGCGTCGTGCAACACCCGGAAACATGGTTGCTTGTTCATTCCAAATCGAAAATGTCGGGAAAGGCTGGGGCCCATGCAAGAAAGCCCGGCGTTGCGCGATCTGTGATCTCGTCGTCCCATCCCCATCCCCCTACCCCACTGATGGGAAGTGTTTCACACTTATTTTCAAACATCCCCCAAGACGAGCGTATCCTGGAGCAGCGTGTGTGTGTTAAAGAAAGAAGGGGAGAAGACTCGCTTCTGGATCCAATCCAGGGCCCGGCTGCTCGCCGAGGTTCTGCCCCGAGACTGGGCTCCACGGGACGATCTTGCTTTCTTTCTCCAAGACGTCGTGTCACCGAAGGGGCGGGGTATCGTTGCGTCGTCCTGCCCGCCGCCGATTGATGACTGCAAGTGACCATCTCATCTTTGAGGGAAAAGGGACCTTTTGGAAGATCCGCTCCGTGTCAGAGAGATCAGGTCGTTGGAGCGGCGCGCGCGCCCGCTGCTTTGGATCAGACGACGTTGCTGATCCAACGTAACCAAACCCTTCATCCCGCACAGACGGATGCTTCTGGACGCGCTCTTCTCGAATCGAACGAGTTTAGACTCATGCCTTTCCTGTCAAACTTGTCAACCATCAAAAGAAGGAACCCACAGACATAAACTGCCCGGCCGGCCGGTGGCGACTGTGTGTGTTTGTGTGTTTGGTGCAACCCACGTGCAGCCTACCTATCTCACAAAAGAAGAAAGTAAAAAAGAGGTCATAGCTGCGCCGCAATAACGATTGTCATTCCTACATGGGACGGATACACATTACGGATTTGTTTCAGACGTCTGTGCTTAACTCGTGAAGAAGGAAAGATGGAATCCCAAGGAGGGGACAAATCCGAGAAAGGGCCCCCGCCAAAATGTCACCACACCGGTATGCAAGGCGAGCAAGAGAGAGAAGGAGAAAACGATGGGCCGGGCGCGATTTGGGAGGGCCCTTTCGGAAAGCTGAGCCTTCTTTTTGTTACTTGGGGGGGGGGGGGCTTAAGAGGGTGTGACCTTCGATGGATGGAGGGGGAGGGTATATCAGACGTCCCTTATTACGATTCTTCCCACACCGGCGAAAGCGTTCCTGTTGCAACAATGTGAACTCCCCGCCCTGCCGCATCGCAAGCAACCGCAGGGTCTCCACCGGATTCACACCGTGACCCGGCTCCGGCCAAATCGCCGTCGGGGCTAAGCCTTCCCAGCAGCAAATCCAAGTTCAGGGTCCGTAAGGTGTGCCGCCTGTTTGGGGGAGGGGCAGAGAGAGAGAGACACACACAGAGGAAGAGGGAGGTCGCCGACTCACGGCTGGCTTTTCCGACTTTCCCAGTGCCTGTCTGTCGATCAATTATCACGAGGGAAAGAGAGAGGGGGGGGGGGGAGACGGAGGGTTTCGTTTGGCGGGCGGGCATTTGGGGCAGCGAACGGCCTCTCCCTCTCCACACCGGGAGGAGGGAAGGCGCCGCTTGGGGCGTATCCCCTCTATCTATCTCCATCACTCGTATGACGAATTGTTGGCCGCCGGATCGCATTTCTTGGTTGTGACGCCGCCGGGGCGACTCGCAACTGGGGCTGGCTGGCTGGGCCGGGGAGGGTATTTCGTTTCAAGCCCACACCTGCGCTCCGCTCTCGAAGTCATGTTGGCGGTGGGTGCTTGCTGCCCATGCTTCGTGCTTCTGGCTGCTGCACCTAGCATGACTCTCTGCTGCTGTTGCTTGTCTCTTGCATGTGGTTCCGGAGAGAGAGAGGGCGCGCGCGGCGCCCACTCACACACACACACAATCTGTCTGTCTTGCATGCGAGCAATCCGGGTAACGGCGCAAGGACCCTAAACCGACATGTTTAATCGATTTTAATTATGGGTCTATGTCCATTTGGCCAATCGAATTGCACCGCTTCGCAACGCACAACTTCCGCACCCACCGCCGCCGTCATATCCCACAACATCGTGAGCTTCACTCAACAACGGCCTCATGGCGCAACGGTAGCGCGTTCGACTCCAGATCGAAAGGTTATCCGTTCAAATCGGGTTGGGGTCATCCAGAAAAGCGTCTAATCGCTCAAATTAATCTTTTTGGCCTCGTCGTTGAGTTGTGCGAAGTTGGTGGTTTGTGGTGGTGACGTTCGCACATAGTCCGGGCGACGCGTGTGTGGCAGGGGCGGACGCGGGACTCTTTCTGACTTTATGATAGTGTCTTACCGTTGATTCCGGTTATGAAAAAAGACGGAAGGAAGAGGAGAGCGCGTGCTGGTTGCTGGAGAGTTGCTCAAAGAGGACGGCTTTTTTGGTGAACATGATGATGCTGATGTTCAGCAGCAAGAGAAGTCTCCCTGTCTTCAAGCCTATACTAACTCTATTCCGCCTGACCGTTTCCATTTCTGTGAATTGGATCCAATCGTGTCAAATGGCGCTGATGCCCTCTCAATTTCTACTCATGCATCCTTCTCAATTGATGCCACAACAACATAATTCGTCCTTGATTGTTTACGCATCAAGCAGAACCGCCATGTCCTAACCCATTCATCACAAAGAACGACATGATTTGGCCTACGTCGCGCATTGTTTATTGTATGCCTGACCAAAACATTGTTTGATCCGGGGCTGAAACTTTCACCACCAAACCGAGTTGGCATTAAGGACTTCATAGACAGCGAAGCCAGGATACCCTCCAGCTCAAGCACTCAGTCACGACTGTCCGGTCCACTAGGTAGGCAGTGAAAGCTTCTCTGGAGACTCTTTCTAGCCCAATGGCCTGTGGCAAGTTTTCTGAAGGCATCACATGGCAAATCTGAAGGGCAAGGACAGAGTGAGAGACCAAGACGCTATTCCATTCTGTCTAACACTAGACAAGAGTATACTCGCTACTTATTCATCGCTCTTGCTTCCCTGCTTCCTTGCAGAGACATGCACTTCCCAACAGAAGTCCTGGATAACTTCATCGCCATCGGCGACAGCTCATGACAGTCATGCAAATCCAGGCAGTAGCTACGAGACCAAAGATCACATTCCCAGTGGTCCCAAGGGGCCCAGGTCCAGGTTCTTCGTTGGTCTGAGGGCCCCGACGTCCAGCACCGTCGTCCATCGTCGTCGTCGTCCGAGGGATCCGATATCCAGCACCATCGTCCGTTGGCGTCGTCGTCGTCTGACGGATCCGATATCCAGCACCGTCGTCCGTTGGCGTCGTCCTCTCCGCTGTCATCGTCTCCTCCGTTGTCTGTCGGTAGCCCACTTGACTCGAGTGTGGAGATGGCGTCATTGGCTGATATGAGGGCCTTCGTGACGAGTTCTGGGCATCGGGTGGCCCTGCGGGCGCCTCTGATACTCGCAGACGTTGCTGTTCAACTGGCATGCACGCAGGCCGGGGCGGCAAGACGTCGTGAGGGATGGCACTCGGGGGCAGCTGCCCCTGGTGTGTAGGGGGGAAGATCCCGTTCTTCCGTGCGTTGCTTGCGTCCTCCCATCGTCTCAATGTGTTCTCCATGTTGCGCACAGAAGCCCCTATATACGCTACCTCACCAGCCATAGCGGTAACGTTATGCTGCATGATCCTCTCAAAGTTGGTCAGATGCTCTTCTTCTTCTTCGTTTGAGTACCGAAGCCGCATTGAGCTTGAGTCGTGAGCTGGGCCATAGTAGAATCCGTCGCGGTCTTCGTCGTCGTAGACTGCGTATTCTGCACTTGACCTAGTACGAGCAGGGTACTCGTCCGGGGACGGATAGCGGTCTAGAGCCCACGTATTCTGCGGTACAGAAGCTAAGCCAACCCATGGAGAGGAAGGCGCAGGTTGTTTGGCTGTGTTTTGGTCTTTAAAGTAGACTCTTTTCTTGCCTGTGAGGTCGAGCTGGACTCTTTGCTCGTCCTTAAGGTTGGAGTGGACTCTTTTGTGGCCTTTGAGGCCTTTGAGGTAGGGCTGAGAAACGACGGGCTGACCGAAGTGCTCCCGGATGTACTGACGGGTGGACTGGGGGTTTTTGTCGTCGGGCACGTCTTGATGAGGTGTGTCTGGACGGGGCGCAGCTGGACGAGGCTTATCTGAGGGAGGCACATCTGGACGAGAAGTGTCCGGACGGGTCTTGTCCTTGCGCATGCCCTTATCGTCGTTGTCATCTTCGTTGTCGTACTTTTTCTTGCCCTTGTGGTCTTCCTCGCACCTGCCCTTGCTCTTGCCATTGCTCTTGCCGTTGCTCTTGCCGGTGCTCTTGCCCTTGCCGTCCTTCTCTATGCCCACTACCGTCGAGGCCTCACTGGCGTCAGACGAGTCGTCAGAGGAAAGGTAAGTTGTGTTCGCGGGGTCTTTCAGGCTGTTGAGGTCAACAAGCTCCAGGCGAGCGGGCTTATTATGGTCGCAGGCAATGTAGCCTTGGAATTTCTGGTTGTTCTGGCCGCTGTCCGCCGGTAATAGTTCCACGAAGAGGGCATGAGACTGGGAGTAAGACGTATTCGCAGTTGTACTTTGAGCCTGGGGTAGAGACGCATTTGCAGCTGTACTTTGAGAGGTTGGAAACGTGTTTGCAGCTGTACTTTGAGAAGGGCTATACAAGGTTGCAAATTGAGGCCGAGGCGGCGGTGGAGGCGCAGGGTATGTGGCATACTGTGGGTTTTGCACATTATTTGAAGTACTTTCGGTGGGTGAAGACACGCGAATGCTCCGGGGTATCTGGGGTGTGGGAGAGCCGCCGTTCACTAATGGCCTTGACGAGCGAGGGCCTTGTGCCGCAGCCTCTTGATCTTGAGTAGGGGGCTGCTGGACGGCATCCTCTCGAGCGGGCGGCTGGGCGACAGTAGAGCTCGCGCGCTCGTCATCGACGGTTGAATGAGGCATCTTGCGGATGTTACGATGTGATGAATGTGATAGTGGGATGTATTTAGAATGTCTTGGGTACTTTGTAGTCGAAGAAAACGTGTTCCAATGTTGGGCTGACGTTGATGTTTGGAAAACGAGGAACGAGGGTCAGAGACAAGGACGGCATATTATAAGGACGACAGAGGACGACAACAGCAAGGGCAAGAACAACGAGAACAGGAACAGCAGGAGCAGTAGCGACAATATGACGCGAAGAAGGTACGTTTGCTAAACGACAACAACCGACAGCAGTAGGGATAGGAGCAACATGACTTATCAGGCATGACAATGTGATGGCAAGACCGTCCCTCATACATGCCACAGAATGCACGTTTGCTCAGAAGATGAATTCCCCGACTCTTTCCACTACACAAGTCTCTTCATCAAACATTGCTGTTGCCTTTTACACCATCTTCTTCCTCCCTCCTGATGTCTTCCTCACTCCTTCCCCTTTCCACCCGACCGCGGTCCCTCCTGACCAAGAACCAGATCGCCCCAGTCAGAAAGAACTGAACAACCATCGTTCCCACGACGCTCCTGAACCCGCGGCGGAAGTACGGCGCCTCGACGGCAGGAAATTGCAGCAGCTGCGCCCAGGCGACAATGGCCTGCCCGATTGCGTTCATCGACGCCGTGACGATGGCTCTCTCCTCCGCGTCACCTGCCATCGTCACCGTCGCCCACGCCATCGTCAGCGAGGGAATGGCGCCCTCGAAGCCGTTCAGCATAAAGGCCGCCAGCCGCCCGCCCTCGCCGACGTTCCACGCCACCAGCATCACCACGCCAATCAACGACGGCACCGTCGCGGCGATGGACAGCCCTGCATACCAGCCTGTGCGGTCGGCGAGCGCACCCGCGGCGAAGCCGCAGACGATGGAGATGGCCGTCGCGACCGTCGGCAGCGTGTTGATGCGCGTGACGGAGTACGTCTCGGGGAAGGCCTTGAGGTAGAGCGAGAAGGGGGACCCGCTGGGCTGGAGGTTCTCGTTCATGATGGTCCACTGCGCGACGAAGAGGTACCAGTGCCAGCGGGTGAAGACCTTTTTGAAGATATCGCGTGAGACCTGTAGTTGAGGCGGCGCCGTGAGGCCCTCGAGACGCTTCTGTGCGAGGGCGTACTGTCGTGCGGGCAGCAGCTTCGGCCGCGAGCGGGAGGGCACGTCGGGGAAGACGAAGAAGCCGATCAGGGCGATGGGGATGGTGATGACGGCGTCGACGATGAAGAGCCAGCGCCAGCCGGCGAGGCCGTGGACGTGGTGCAGGTTCGTGTAGGCGGCCGCTTGGAGGTAGCCCGCGAACATGGTTCCCAGCGGCGCCGCGATGTAGAACAGGGCGACTCTGCGGCCGATCTCTGAAGATTTGTACCAGCTTCCGATTACGTAGATTATTCCGGTGAATGACGAGCTCTCGAATAGGCCTGTGAAGAAGCGCATGGCGTAAATTGTCTGCACGTTCTGAGCCCATGCAAGACCGAATGTCGACAGGCCCCAGCCGATTTCGAGGACTGGCAGGACGATGTTGATGGGGTAGCGGGTCAGATAGTAGCACGCCGGGATCATGGAGGTGCAGTACGAGGACCAGAAGACGATGGTCATATAGTTGAGCTCGTTGCCGACGAGGTTGAGGTCCTCTTTCATGCCGCTGGTCTGGTGAGCTTGAAAGACTGTCCTGGGAGCAGAGCAACATACCTAACGTAGGCATTGGTCAGAGATGACTGGTCAAGATACTTGGTGAAGAAGCAAAGACAGCCAAAGATCAGGATCAACAAATCCAGCCGCAGGACGAGGTTCTTCTCCTCGCTTGGCGTGTCGCGCGAATACCATCGGAGGGCCGTCATGAGGCGAATCCACGAGCCTTCACGAGAGGACTCCCGAGGTTCCTCGGTGATATCAGCCGGGCCATCAGCCACGGCTGGCGACTTTTCCGTCAGCGCAGCCATCATAATAGTCGGCGTCTGAGTTGAGCTCAAGGTAACTGTCAGGCCAACTGCAAAACATCGTGAGGCATCACGTTTATATAATCCGTGGAAATGAGGGAAAAGTTCATCAGCCATATCGATAACGAAGAACGACCGACTCGCACATCGGCAAAGAAGCTCGTTTCCCCATTCGGCCAGCATCCGCAGAGATGGTTGGACGACGCGATGGCGCAATCGCTGCCCACTATGATAGCACATGGCATCTCCATTCGAGTCTCCCAATGAGACCTCATCGTTGCGTAGCATTCTGCAAAACCAAAGGGTGGGTCTGTGATAAAAGACCCTGACATTTGGAGGCTGTCCACTTAACCAGTGCTAAGCTTTTGAGGCGCCGGGAACCGGTGGGATGGGTCACGAACTCATTCAACGTAGTGCTTACTTTTGGCCTTGGATTGTTCTGTTGGCTGAGATATGTCCTACGAGAAAAGAAAGCGAGTAACAAAGCCGTCCTGACGGGAAACAGTCTCATTAGTAGTACTCATTGCCTCGCTGGAGCCCCTAAATCCAAACTTTTGTATAATTCAGCCTCTCCGGGTCAATCTTTCAGTTACTCCCCTCATCCCCCCCATTAAGCGCCGCAAGCTCATCTCCGCCTCTTATCCTTTACCTTCTTATCTGTCTGCTGCGTCGTGCCGACCAAAAACCCCTTCTTCACTCCCACGGCCGTCCTGCCGCGCGCCAGCATCGCCTTCTTAGTGCCGATCGAGTACTTGTGCGACTTGGGCGCGAGCCTCTGGTCCTCCTGCTTCACCACCCGGAACACGGTCGACCCCACGACCTCGTCCTTGGGGCCGCGGCCCTCGCGGGAAATCTGCGCCTTGGCGGTGTTGAGCTTGCGCGCCTTGCGGGGCTGACCCTCGGCGCCGTCCTCGCCGTCGTCTTCCGAGTCGGACTCGAGGAACTCGGCCGGGAGCTCGGCCGGCAGATCGAGTCTCCGGCGGGTGGGCTTCTTGGACGCCGCCACGTCAGCCTGCTCTGCGTCCGCCAAGTCCTCAGCCTCCGCTGCGGCGGTCTCCATCTCCTCGTCCTCGTCGTTTGCCTTCTCCGCGGGCGCGGGCTTCTGGGCCTTGCGGACTGCAGCCTGTTCCTGGAGGCGGGTGTTGCGCTCCTGGCGCTTGCGCTTTTGAGCAGCGGCTTGTCTGCGAGATGGTTAGTTTTTAAAAAGTAATCAGGTCACTCGTGTAACGTACTCTGCGATGGCCTTGTTGGCAGCTTGAGCGGACTTCTTCGCCTGCACCGCAGCCTTGCTCGTCGAAACAGCCTCGGGGGCCTCGTCCGAGTCTGAATCGTCCGCCGCCTCAGCAGCTGGCGCCTCCGCCTTTTCCTCCGCCTCCTGCTCCTCCTCGTTCACGGGCTCTGGCGACTCCTCCGAGTCGTTGATGACCTTGTCCTCCACCTCCGACGCCGGCTGCTCGGGCCCTGTGATGATGGACGGCTCCTGGATGTCGGCGGTCTTGGACGGGATCGAGTCCGCTTTCAGCTCCACCACGAGAGACGACTTCTTTTTTGAAGACGGCCGGGCGCTCTCATCCTTCTTGGCGGAGCCCTTCTTGGGGGTGGCTCTGGGTGTGGACTTGGGTGTGCCCTTGGGGGTTGCGTCCTTTGAGCGGACGGGCAGCTTCTTTGGTGTGGTAATTTCTCCGGGCGACTCGACTCCCGAGCGCAGCATGTTCCGGGTGGTGACCATTGTGAATGAGAGACCGGCAGGTCGTGTGGCTTCCCGCGGGGGGAGGTGGCAAACCGTGTTTCAATGCGATCGCAGGGCGAGATTATGTATTCCAGCAGTTTTTTGCAGGGCTTCCGTATGAGTACACAACGCGAAACGCTTCGGGTCCCTGGCGACGGATGAGTGTGTGAGTTCGATGGTGTTGATGAGTGAGGACCGAAAAGTCATCGAGGGAAGGGTGCAGTCGCAACTTTTTTTCAAGGTGGGGCAAACCATCAAACAGACGGTGTTTGATTGGCTGCAAAATCTCGACCCACTTCACTCATCGTGAACCTCAGTCGAGCTTCCTACATCGAAGCTTCATCTGAGCACCACTGCGCCGAGGGCACCCACGACCGCATGAGCTGACTCGGGCGACCAGTTTCTTTGAATCTGTCATTGAGATTCTGAGCGAGGTAGACGATCAAGGCGGTCTCAATGCAGCAGGCTTGCCGCCTCAATTGATCTACACTAGAACCTCGAATTTCATCCTCCTGGCCCGCTCAAATGCTGTCGATGGACCATCATTGACCACACTCATCGCGCCATACTTACACACTCCATCCTTCACCATGTTTCGCCTCGCGAGAGCTCATGCCTCTCACGCTCGGCCTCTCATGGCCGGCGTTCTCCCCCGGCCATCGCCAGCTCTCAGCCCTCCACCAGCCGTCGCGACGAGCATAAGAACCATTCAACGGGCTGCAACCGGACATCGCAAAGCCCGTCCAGACCCCAACCTAAGAGACGAGAGAGCGCCCATAAGGATCCAAACAGTGACGATACCCAAACGCTCCAACGCTCTCTTCCGCATGCTGTGGAAGACGCTGGAAATCCCCGACGGCGACCCCGACCAGACATACAAAATTTACAGCGCCTACCTGTCGGCCCTCGCCCAGCGCAGGGAAGTCAAGAATTGGGAGTCCAACTTCCTTGGACGTGAGTCAGCTTTGCTACATGATCCGTTCTGACTCCCCTTCGATATCCAAAACACATTTGCTGACCTGCCTCCGCCACAGAGACAAGGGCGAACGGCACCGACCTCCACAACCTGGCCCTCTTGATCCTGGACTTTCCCAACATGCGCGAGGAGGAGAAGGACCTCTTCTTCCATGTCCTAAACACGGCTTCCGGCATCGGGTACGACGCCTCGGCCCTGTCCCTCGGCCGGACCCTCATCCATAACCAGGTGCCCAAGACCTCACCGTACTCCTACTGGGCGCCCCAATGGGGCCACATGCGCGACCACGTCGACTACCTCATCAAGCTCGGCCGCGACGCCAACGCCATCGTCCTCGA